GGGAGCCCGATGCGGGGCTCGATCCCAGGACCCTGGGATCATGACCTGAGCCGAAGGCAGACGCTTAACGACTGAGCCACCCAGGCGCCCCGTTCCTATAAAACTTCTAAAAAAGAAAAAAAACTAAAACCTTTCCCTTGGGATGCCTGGGTGGCTCAGTAGGTTAAGCATCTACCTTTGGATCAGGTCATGATCCCAGAGTCCTGGGATCGAGTCCTGCATCGGGCTCCTTGCTCAGTGGGGAGCCTGCTTCTTCCTCTGCCTGCAGCTCCCCCTGCTTGTATGCTTTCTCTCTCTCTCTGACAAATAAGTAAATAAAAATTAAAAAAAAAAAACCTTTCCCTTGAAAACTGATTACTCATAAGATTTTTTAAAAAGATTATTTTATTTTAGGAAGAGAGAGAGAGAGAATGAGAGATCGTGCAGTGGCGGGGGGGGAAGAGCGAGAAGGAGAGAGAGAATCTCAAGCAGACTCCTCGCTGAGTGGGAAGCCCAACACAGGGCTCAATCCCACAACCCTGAGATCATGACCTGAGCTGAAATCAAGAGTTGGATGCTTAACCGACTGAGCCACCTAGGTGCCCCGATTATTCATTAAGATTTTCAGGAAGAATTTTTCAGTATCACCTCTAAACATGACTTGAAGGACAGTCACTGAAATGCCTATGAAAATGGAGTTAAATCAAAGTCAATTCTCTCAAAATGTATTTGCACTCTGTTCAGACACTATTAACAGAGCCAAAGTTACATTAAAATGCACAAAATTCCTAGTAGATTAACATTAGCTTAAAATTCTTTTTGACTGAGGGAGAAATGAATCTTGAGTTATAATTAATGAAGCTCACTGTTTTCTTTGCTTATTTTAAATTCACTGTTTCTTGTTATAGTTCAAATGAGGTAAATATTGACTAAGGTCTTCCCAAAAATTGTCAGTTTATTCTGAGAAGCTGGCAAAATGAAGCTATCATTTACAGGTTAGGAAAAAGCCTAGATAAGTTACTTCTACAAAAAAATTACTCTCCCCCAAATCAGCCCATAGGCCCCCCAAATTTTCTAGTAATAGCTATAGAATTAAAATTGCTATATTCAACATTCTAATATACAATATTGCATGACTTCATGAAGGGCAAAAAAACAAAACAAAAGACAAATTGGAAGACTACATATGTTTCCCATAAGCTTTTCGAACTATTTGGAAAGCTTGACTAGAAATTCATCTTTTATACTTAAGAAACCTCCCAAAGTATTTAATTGGCATCAGTTACATTCCCTTCCTTATCTGCTTTGGAAATGCTCCGAAACACAATGCCCCAAGGCCTTCATGAAGATATCTCCACTACAAAGAGAAAACGCCTAGTTTTCTACTTACGGTTTTATACATCCTTGTTTGCTAAGGAGAGTTGCTAATCATACTTTGGCCAAAGAAAATGTACTTTCCTGGCCAATTTTAAAATTTCAGCAGTTTGGTGATATCATTTAGACAGTACAATTGATAGACTCATGAAATTTTAATACTAGAAATTTTAATGCTAGGCAAATGATCTTCTAGTGAAAAGTGAGTTCACGGGTCAAATGGAGAAATAGTGGCAGAGCTGCGTCTGCAAAGGAAGTCTTCTATAGCATTATTTTTTCATATTATGACCCATTTGTATGTCATGAAGTCAATTTAATGGAATATGGCTAGCATTTGCTAAAAAATAAAATAGATCAAAATAGAACACATTAGATTAGACTCACTGGAAAATATCTGAATATATTGTATGTAATAAAGGAAACTATTATTTCATGAAACCCTTTTTCAGTAATATATATGCCTTTCATTTCTTGTTCCCCAAGTCCCTTGCCCAATCCATCCATCCGTCCATGAACATACACATACAACTACATATGCTACATATTGGGTCACAATATAAATTATATTTCTCACTATGAGTAGCAATAAAAAATTTTTTTAAAAGACTACCAGTTCTCCTTCCACAAAATTATGCCATCTATACAGTATAATGTAATAACTTCACATAAATGAGATGAAGTCTTTAGAAATTCTGTGATAGATTTGACTTTTACAATAGCCTCCTTATTGGATTAAAATGTAGTACAGCAGTAATTTGATAAATTGGTAATTTGAGGAGGGAAAACTACCAAGGATAAGTTCAACCATGCATCAGAAGTCTATAACTTCCTTAATAGTTCCAAATGAGAGTCAAAGCCCACTGTGCAAACACTTTGCTATGCAACCAGATTGTGTTTTCTCTCAGATATCCAATATACTTCTTTTTGGTAGTTCCATCCTTGATTAACTCTTTTTGGGAAAGCTTTAGCAGCAGGGCCATACAATGAGCACAAAAGGCAATACTGAGGTCTAACTTATTCAGTGACAATATAGGATATCATACCATCATCCTTCTACAACAAATCAAATGTTGGTCCTTGACTGGGAGCAACAGAATAACCAGAGTAACCTGGGGGAAAAAAGACAAAAGACATTCCCAGGGTCTACCTTAGACCTACTGAATCAAAACTATAGGGATGGAGCCTGTGAATCTGTTTTTGTTTTAAGTTCCTTAGCCAGTTCTTTGACAAATCCAGGTTTGAAAACACCTTCTACAGACTACATTCCAGGTTTATCTCTTCCATATTACCTTTTTAAAAAAATTTTTAGAAAGGGCGCCTGGGTGGCTCAGTTGGTTAAGCGACTGCCTTCGGCTCAGGTCATGATCCTGGAGTCCCGGGATCGAGTCCCGCATCGGGCTCCCTGCTCAGCGAGGAGCCTGCTTCTCCCTCTGACCCTCCCCCCTCTCATGTACTCTCTCTCATTCTCGCTCTCTCAAATAAATAAATAAAATCTTAAAAAAAAAAAAAAAAAAAAAATTTTTAGAAAGATTTTTATTATGTATTTGAGAGAGAGGGAGAGCACAGACGGAGAGGGAGAGGGAGAAGCAGACTCCCTGCTGAGCAGAGAGCCCAACATGGGACTCGATCCCAAGACCCTGAGATCATGACCTAAGCCGAAGGCAGACACTTAAGTGACTGAGCCACCCAGGCATCCCTCTTCCATATTACCTTTTTAAAGAAAAGTTGGCCTCCTTCCCTTATCCTTCCAATTTTTCATGCCAAAATCTTTGGAGGCATCCTTGACTTCCCCATATCCAATCAGGAAATCCTCTTTGCTCTTCCTTCAAAATATATTTAGAATCTTTGTACTTCTCACCTTTTCTGCTGCTACCACCCTAGAACAAATCCCCATCATCTCTAACTGGGATTATTACAACAGACTCCCTGCTTCCTTCCTTCCCTCCTTTTGTTAATTCCCAACATAGTAGTCAAAGTGATTCTTTTAAAACTGACATAACATCTTGTCACTCCTCTGGTAAAATCTCCCATGGCTTCCCATTTCACAGGAGGTACAAGCCCTTACCTGCCCTATAATAAGGCCCTTTCCTCCCTGATATCTTCTCTTACTATTCTCCCAACTATGCCAGGCTCCTTGAGTCTTCTTGGAATATACCCATCATACTCTTGCCTTAGGGTCTATGCATTTTTTGTGCTATGGAAATTCCTTCCCCAGATATCAGCATAGCTAACTCTCTTGCCTTTTTTAAGTCTGTATCCAATGTCATTTTCTCAGTAAGACCTATCCTGGCCATTCCGTGTTAAACTGTAATTTGCATTTCTTGTTCCCCAGCATTCCAGTGTGGCCCTACCGTACTGATTTTTTTTAATTTTTTCCCCCAAAGTACTTTTCATCTTCAAACTTACTACATAATTTACTTACTTACAATATTTATTATTATTTATTTATGTCTCCCTCCATTAGAACATCAGCTCCATGAGGGCAGGAATCTTTGTGCATTATATTCTTTGATACATCCCAAGGATCTAGAACAGTGCTTGGTACGTTGTAAGTAATCAATAAATAACTGGTGAATAGGGGCACCTGGCTGACTCAGTTGCAAGAGTGTGTGACTCTTGATCTTGGGGTCATGAGTTCGAGCCCCACGTTGAATGTAGAGATTACTTAAATAAATTTTTAAAAACTTAAAAAAAAAAAACTGGTAAAGAAATGGAGAGATAGTGAGGCTAACCAAAATATTTGGAACTCTCTATCCATTCCAACTAGCCATATAAATATCTAATACCCAATCACGAAACTGTAATCTTTATATTGCCAGTCCCTTTGGAGGTAGCCTCTACTCACTAATACTCTTAATGCAATGATGTTTAACAAAAGAATAATCCAATGAGAATATCAGATCCATTTTTTAAAATATTTAAAACAAAGTAACTGAGAAGTAAAATTGTAGACAAGTTTATAAACCAAAGACTTTGTGTAGAAAAACTTCCTGTCATAAAATAGAGGAATTTCAAACACTGCTCAAAATATCTGAGAAAGTTCTGTTGTTAAATAATATAGTAACCTGGTGCTTGGCAGTTAAAGACATCTGGAGCAAAAAAGCATTTTCCTGTTTCTTCAGCAATCAAGGCATAGTCCACCTGGCTGAGACCGCTTACAGCTGGCAAAAACAAGTTCCAGAGGCCTTCTGCTTTGGCCATTTCCTGTCAAGGTGATGAATATGCCAGAGTGATCATAATTTACCATGAACTGAGTTTTTTTTAAAAAGATATTGCTATTTATGCTTTTTGAAATTTAAAAACACTTACGAAGTTATTTGTTTTATTTACCCTACAGTGTGCAAAACCAAATAGTTACTAACTCATTACAAATCAACAGTTTCCTAACTGTTAAAGAAATGCCTTTTCCTCCACGTTTCCTTAGATTTGGCTGAAAAACTAAAAACATGAAATTAGACTGAGCCCATGTGAGACAAATGTCCTGCTTGACGTCTATTGCAATTTTGCAGCAGGTGGTAGTGAGTGGTGTTGATCATATTTTTTCTTTCAAAGCTGTAAGAGGCTATCTTCATCACATACCATATACAAAACACTATGTAACCTAATTTGTATACTACAGATTCTGTTTTTAACTTTCTTTTTAAAAAGTTATTATTGATATATTTATTATCTACATATATAACAACAGCAATAATAAACTAAGGTTTCAAAAAACACCTGCATACACATTTTCCAATATTAAAGGTTTTCTTGTTTTTCTTACCTTAAGTTTATCAATCACTAAAGGTTTTTTCCATCTGTCCACTGAATTTTCATTTTGAACATAGAACTCAATTACCTCCTTAAAGTAATAACAAGAAAAAAGTTCATTAGCTAAAGTTAATACAAAGTAAATAATGCCATAAGCTGCTAATACCCAAAGTAAACATATTTAGGTGAAGTAGCTTTTCAAGCTGCTATTAAATCAGTAATACTTCTTTGAAAAACCAGATACATGAGTATAAACAATTCTAGAGGTTTGCTGCTCACGAAATTATGCTGTCTTGATATTAGATAACAGACTTCCAAAGTCTTTTTCCAAGATTTGAGTGTTTCATTTTTAGCAATATAGCTCAATGGGTGGTCATAGGAACACCCCTCAAAGTAGCACAACTAAAAATGCCAGAGAAAATATTTAAAACAATGAAAAAAAATTCATGTAGTAATGAATAGCTGTGCTGGAAGAACAATAAGGAAATTTCTCAGTGGTCAGAAATAAAAAAGCTCAATTCTTCAGGTGTTACTAAACTACTTGTTTCAAGCCACCATTAGCAAAAATTAACAAAACCAATAGTGTAACAACAGAATCACACTCCTCAAAGACTACAGATAAAATAATGATCAGATACAGAATAAAGTATTTGTGTCCAATAGATTTCAAGAATAAAGGAAGGAATTAAAAGTATGACAAGGGTTATCAAAATTGGCCAAATTTGTAAAAGAACAACAACAACCAAAAAAGTAAAAGAATCAAATGGAACTTGAGGAAAAGAAAAACCACATTAATTAAATTTAAAAATCCAAGCAGTGGTTCTTAAACTTTAGTGGTATTGGAATTACTTGGGGCACTTGATGAGAACACAAGTATCCACGAGCTATCCTACTTCAATGAGCCTACAGTTTCTGTATTCTTTACTAGCCCTGGCAATTCTGACACTCCAAATTTTGAGAATCACTGCCCTAGGGATGGTTGAAAAGTAGATTAGATATGGCTGAAAAAAGAAATAAATTGGAAGAAAAATATGAAGAAATTACACAAAAATTCAATAGAAGGAAAATATGAAAGGTTAAGGGATATGATGGATATAGAGAAAAGTTCTCACATCAGTCTAATTGGGGACCCTAGATAAAGAGTATGAGAAGAGGGAATACTGGAAAAAATTACATCTGAGTTTCTAGAACTGATGAAAAACACCAATCCTCAAGTTCAGAAAACATAATAAAGCCAAAGCACAAACTGCTGAATATCAAAGAGAAATAAAAGCTCTTAAAAGGAGGGGAGGGTGGAAGGACAGATCAATGATAATTTTTTTAAAAGATTTATCTGTTTATTTGAGAGAGAGCAAGCGAGGGGTAGGGGGAGAGGGAGAGAGAGAATCTCCAGCAGACTCCCCGCTGAGCACAGAGCCTGACGTGGGGCTTGATCTCATGACCCCCAGATCATGATCTGAGCCAAAATCAAGAGTTGGACACTTAACTGACTGAAACACCCAAGTGCCCCCAGATCACTGATAATTAAAGAATTGAGAACTGACTCCCCAGAGCAACAAATGAAGCCAGAAATCAGTGTGATAATGTCTTCACTTGCTGAGAGAAAATAACTGTCAACCTAGAATTCTATATCCAATAAAACAATCTTTCAAGAATTAGGGCAAAATAAAGGCATTAGAAAAAAAGAAACAGAGAGAATCTGAATCTGAATCATTACTTACCTCTCCTGAGCAAAAAAAAGGAAAAAAGGAAAAAAGAAAGATCAAAGAAAAGGTTACCACTAGATTCTCATTAAAGGAACTTGATCCTAAAAGAAACATCTGAGTTGCAAGACGAACCAGTAAACAAAGTGATAAATACATGGGTAAATCTAAATTTAAAACTAGCCACATAAAACAGTAATAATAATCTCGAATTTGTGCAAATAAAAGAATCAAGATGAACTAAAATATGGGCTATGATGGCATTTTCTAATATTTTGCTATTATAGCATCTCCGTATCTATTTTTTTTTTTAAACTTAGGCTAGTAGAATTACTAAAATAAAATCTGTGACTACTGTCACAAGGCCACATTACAAAATTATTTCCTAAAATTGTTCCACTCCTTTACAATCATATAATACACAAATACATTCTTTTTATTAAGCATGGCTGGTCTAGGGAACTGATGTATTTAGTGAAAACTGTAAGAAGACAAAGGACTTTCTAACCAGGATGAACAGCATTCATCATTTCTGTCAGGAAGTCAGCTGAATTGGAGATTTCCTCTTTAGGGTTGTTTATTATTTCCATCCCTTGTACGGCCATGGAAACAGTCAATACTACTGTGTTTGATAAGAAATATATTATGCAATACATTTACGAACTCATCATCTCTTACTACCTCTTTATGATACTACAGTTCTGAGAAATTAAATTATCCAGTGTTAACATAATTATTTAAAAACTTGTGTGATTTAATACTTCCTGTTCTAAAGTCTATCCATTTAGAGATCTGCAAAATCTGTTTGTAGTATGGCAGGAGTCAGAATTAATATAAAATATCTCATTACAAAGAAGCTTTCTTTAGTTCTTAGAGTATGAAAAACAGTATATTGGTGAAAGAAGAAAGCAGAAAATACACTTGATGCCTGATCAATTTTCCCCAAATAGCACCTTTAACATCTAACTTCCTCATTCACTGACTGAGATATTGCTTTGCAGTATGTTAGTTCAGAATCTTAAATCTGAGCCTACAAATAATTTTGCAATATGTTTTTCACTTTAAACTTAAGTCTATTAGAAAAAAGCAACAGGGGGCGCCTGGGTGGCTCAGTTGGTTAAACGACTGCCTTCGGCTCAGGTCATGATCCTGGAGTCCTGGGATCGAGTCCCGCATCGGGCTCCCTGCTCGGCAGGGAGTCTGCTTCTCCCTCTGACCCTCCTCCCTCTCATGCTCTCTGTCTCTCATTCTCTCTCTCTCTCAAATAAATAAATAAAAAAAAAAATCTTAAAAAAAAAAAGAAAAAAGCAACAGTTCTTTACTAGTATATTATTATATTGAATAGGAAAATATGACTAATGTTCTCATTACATTGTAAGTGTATTCTCAACACTATGTTGCTAGTTCTTGTTTTACATGCTATTTTTTAAGACTCCTTATCCATTTTATTTTTATTTTTTTTTAGAGACAAAGCATGCACACGTGGAAGGGCGTAGGCAGAGGGAAAGAGAGAATCTTAAGCAGGCTCCACACCCAGTGTGAGCCCAATGTGGGTCTCGATCTTATGACCCTGAGATCATGACCTGAGCTGAAATCAAGAGCTGGACGCTTAATTGACTGAGCCACTCAAGCCCCCTCCCATCCATTTTAAATAGGAAAAATTACCTTTTAACATTCTCATAGAAAATGGGTTCTTATGTTCTCACTTTATGAATTCTAAGGAATTTCAAAGGTCATTTGAGTAGTTTAAATGAAGCTTACTTTCTCCCATTATGAAAACTTGGAAAAATACGTAAAAGTATTAAAAGTCATAAAGAGTCTGACTAAAGATGTATACTCTTAAAATATTCGTGTATTATATGACATAATCTTGTTTTCTAGACATGACTTAATTTTTATAAACTTAGTTATAATAATATTGGATAGAATTTCACAGGCTTTCCCCCTCCTATTTTGAAAAAGCTAATTACTTTTCTCCAGTTATCATTTCAAATGTATATGTTTACAGACAGGGATTAGTATTGTTCAGAATCATTCTACAGGATAAAACATTTTTACAGATGTTGGTTTAAGATTTTTTTTTTAAGATTTTATTTTTAAGTAATCTCTATACCCAACATGGGACTCAAACCCACAACCCCAAGATCAAGAGTTGCATGCTCCATTGGCTGTGCCAGCCGGGTCCCCCAGTTTAAGATTTTTAATGGAAGAAAAAGCTCATGTTATTATGCATGGATATATTCTAGATTTGAATGATCTGCAAAGACAAAATGACCCTGGCTTTCCCTGCCTCACAAAATATTGACAATCTTCTGTTAAAGCTATAGATTGCTTTTTTTTTTTTTTACTTATAATAAAGTATTTTCTTTTACATTGAAAATTCTTTTTTTTTTTTTTTATTTATTCATTTGAGACAGAGAGATACAGAGACAGAGCATGAGCAGGGGGAGAGGCAGAAGACCTGAGCCGAAGGCAGATGCTCAACCATCTGAGCCACCCAGGCATCCCTACATTGACAATTCTTTGTAAATATTTTAATAGCTGCATAATATTAAGTTCAGCAGATGTATCACAACCCAACTTGTGATACTTCTTTTTTGTGCTTCATGTTTCCCTTGATTTCCCATTCACATTTATAATTTAAAGAGCAAGACTATCTTATTAACTCTTTCAAAGAACCAGCTCCTACTTTCGTTGATCTGTCCTACGTTTTTTTCTGGTTTCTATTTCATTGATTTCTGCTCTAATCTTTATTAATTCTCTTCTCCTGCTTGGCTTAGGCTTTATTTGTTGTTCTTTCTCCAGTTCCATTACGTGTAAGGTTAGGTTGTGAATTTGAGACCTTTCTTGTTTCTTGAGAAAGGCTTGTATTGCTATGTATGTCCCTATTAGGACTGCCTTTGCTGCATCACAAAGGTTTTGAACAGTTCTGCTTTCATTTTCATTTGTTCCCATGAATTTTTAAAAATTCTTCTTTAATTTCCTGGTTGACCCATTTATTCTTTAGTAGGATGCTCTTTAACTCCAAGTGTTTGAGTTCCTTCCAGATTTCCTTTTGTGATTGAGTTCGAGTTTCAAAGCATTGTAATCTGAAAATATGCAGGGAATGATCCCAACCTTTGGGTATCGGTTGAGACCTGATTTGTGACCAAGTATGTGATCTATTCTGGAGAATGTTCCATGTGCACATGAGAAGAATGTGTGTTCTGTTGCTTTAGCATGGAATGCTCTGTATATATCTGTGAAGTCCATCTGGTCCAGTGTATCATTCAAAGCTCTTGTTTCCTTGTTGATCTTTTGCTTAGAAGATCTGTCCATTGTTATGACTGGGGTGTTGAAGTCCCCTACTATTAATGTATTATTATCAATGTGTTTCTTTAATTTTGTTATTAATTGGCTTATGTATTTGGCTGCTCCCATTTTAGGGGCATAAATATTTACAATTGTTAGATCTTCTTGCTGGATAGACCCTTTAAGTATGATATAGTGTCCTTCCTCATCTCTTATTACATTCTTTGGTTTAAATCTAATTTGTCTGATATGATTGCTACCCCAGCTTTCTTTTGATGTCCATTAGCATGATAAATGGTTTTCCACCGCCCCCCCCTTTCAATCTGGAGGTGTCTTTGGGTCTAAACTGAGTCTGTTGTAGAGAGCAAATGGATGGGTCTTGCTTTTTTATCTAATCTGATACCCTGTGTCTTTTGATTGGGGCATTTAGCCCATTTAGATTCAGAGGAACTATTAAAAGATACGAATTTAGTGCCATTGTATTACTTGTAAAATCCCTGTTTCTGTATATTTTCTCTGTTAAGTGGAGACTAAGTAGCATTTTCTTAAAAAAAAACTATACCTCACTGTCAGCAAAATTCACCTCATGCCAGTTCTTTATTAAAAATATGATAATTATTTATGTAGTTCAAGCAACAACAGTAATTGCCCTATAAACACATATCAACTCTGAACACTTTTGTTTAAAGAATTTTGGTCTTTTTCAGTTTCCTATTTGATTTTGTCAGTCTAGCTCTAGAGCTCTCAGAATCTTAGAAAATTAAAATGAGAATTTATTGTATATCTACTCATACTTACGCACATCACAAATGAACAACTGAGGCACTGAGAGTGAGTTATTTGTTCATGACCACCTACCTTGTGCTAGGAATGGACTAAAATTAAACTCTTACGATTTTTACACCAGTGTGCAACTCACACATATACCTGACCCCACCTGCCTTATGTATTTTCATAACAGCTTTTATCTTTTCTTCACAGCATTATCATCTCTTACTGAATGTCTTTCTTTTGTGCTCAAGTGTAGGCTCTGTGGAATCATTAGCTCTGTCTTGTTCTTTCTTTTACTTTTGATGGCTCTCCAGATGCCTAGCCCATTATTAGGTACCTAATAATTACAGGTTAACTGAATGAATGAATGTACCATGTTACTTTTCTACCCTCAGTGAACTTACTGAAACTTAACACCTTAAAGTAGTAGCCTGTGGGGAGAGAGGTAGTAGTATCTGTGAATAGATTGAAATGATATGCAACATTTTCTGGTTATGTCCATTTTGTTTAGTCTACGGTTTTGATTCTCAAAGGGGGCCATAAAAAAAAAAAAAAGCTGAAAGTCACTGCCTTATGAAAAGGCCCTGGGGTGCTTGGGTGGCTCAGTCAGTTGGGCATCTGACTCTTGATTTTGGCTCAGGCCATGATATCAGGACTGTGGTGCTGGGCCCCGAGTGGAGCTCCCCACCTGGTGCAGTCTGCTTATTCTTCCCCTTCTGTTCCTCCCCCTAGTAGAGTGCGCTCTCTCTCACTAATAAATAAATAAAATCTTTTTTTTTTTTAAAGGCCCTAAAGTAATATATTTAGGATCTCAATATATTTAGGATATATATACTCTAAAATATTTAGGATCTCAACTTTACAACAGTTAATCCCCTTCGACTGAATTTTAATTCCAAAGATTCATCTGTGGCATTCCCTTGGCATATTTTAGACCTGCTCCGTTTCCGACCTGGGCCGGTTCACCCCTCCTTAGGCAACCTGGTGGTCCCCCGCTCCCGGGAGGTCACCATATTGATGCCAAACTTAGTGCGGACACCCGATCGGCATAGCGCACTACAGCCTAGAACTCCTGGGCTCAAGCGATCCTCCTGCCTCAGCCTCCCGAGTAGCTGGGACTACAGGCGCGCGCTACCGTGCCCGGCCCTTGGCATATTTTAGAAGCTTATCAGCTTCTGCAGCAGCTCAGTGCTAAGGTGAGGAGGGGAATGAGGTAAGGACTGACTACAAAGATAGGATACCATGATACGCCTAGAAGCAGAGATAACAGACATAATCCATCTACAGTATTTGAGCACAAATACATTCTGTTTGTTTATACAGTATTTACCTTTTCAGCTGGAAGGATGTGTTGTTTCATGAAACGCTTCACCCTAGCAAGAACTTCCTGGCCGGTCTTACTCAGTACAAACAACTGTTGGGAAGTATCAATCTGTGGTGATGTAGTACTGAAAGTTCTTTATAAAAAAAGAAAAAAAAGAAGTTACAAAGGTGTCCCAAATCATTATTATATATTTCTGAATATAATGTGAAGTCTTCTCCAACTCCCTCAAAATATCCCTCAGGAGTTACCATATTTTGGAATTTCTTAAGTTTTTCATATTATGGGGTGAATGTAGAATCACTTTACTTTGAACATGAAACTTTAATGCTGAAAGCACTATGTGGGTAAAACATAAGCCTGGCATAATCTCAATCAGTGGTAGTTTTGAATTTTTATTATAAAGTCACTTATCACAATCTCTCAAAAAGAAAGTGAAGAAATTGAACAGAAATGTAGTAATTATTCTTAGGATGTTCCTCACAAATACAACTACTGGACGTCATTATAAAGATCTTTATGAAGAGCAACACTATCAGTTGTTATGTTGAGAGAACACAAACATCCATCTATAAGACGAATTGTAAAACATAACTGTCCTAATGTTATGTCTTGGGTACTTGTGGCCTGGACAGAATTTCCAGGGACAGCACCATCTATGCATTCAGTAAGTGCTATTTATCACATCTCTTAGATGGGAGTGTGTGGTTGGCAAGTGAACTAGATGCCTCAAAAAGTGCTCCACTGATGAGACATGGATTTCAAAGACACTTATGAAATGATTGAGTAAAATTTCATGAAATATGATGGAAGAGAGCAATACTTCTAAAGTTAATAAATCATCTTTTATAAGATGTAATTTTGAATAGGTATATGTAAGTAATTTAAATATTAGAAAGAAACTGGGGCACCTGGGTGGCTCAGTCGTTAAACGTCTGCCATCAGCTCAGGTCATGATCCCGGGGTCCTGGGATTGAGCCCCGCATCTGGCTCCCTGCTCAGCGGGAAGCCTGCTTCTCCCTCTCCC